TCTCTGGTTATCCCCACCATGGAGATCACGAATCAAAAAAAAGCCAAAATATAATTTTATTATCCTGTCCAGTTCACCAAGATTCTGCTCCTACATTTTTAAAAAGGGTAGGCCGCGGCCGGTAGCTGGGCGGCTGCAGGTCGACCACCTTTCCCAGCCCCGCTTCCCCGAGGGCAGCACTCGGCTGTACTTGCCTGTTCTGCTGCTGGAGCGGTCGGGGCAGTCCGAGGTGGGCGTTCGGGAACAGAGTGAGAGGCCGCCGCGGGCAAAGGTAGGAAAGCAGGCTGGTTGAGAGGAGCCAAAGACGAAAAGAAGCTATGCCTCGGTGTGTCACAAAGGCAAGCTTTGCAACACAGCGAGGGAGGCTAATAGTGGTGGGGCGGGGTGAGGGGCGGGCGCCGGGCGGGCCATCAATTTAACAAACGGTTCGGTGTGCTGCCTGGCCAATAAATAGTGGTGGGGCGGGGTGAGGGGCGGGTGAGCCAGCAATTTAAAAAACGGTCCGGTGTGCTGCGGGGCCAATAAATTGCAAAAAAACACCGAACCGTTTGTTAAATTGCTATTTATTGGCAATAAATAGTAGTGCGGAGGGGCAGGGCAAGGGGCGGGGCGAGCCAGCAATTTAACAAAGGGTTCAGCCGAACCCCCTAGAACTGGCAGAATCCCACCACTGCTCTAGGCCAATTCACCATAGTCATAGAATTTATAAACAAATCTTATTTATTCCCATTCTCTTGTTTGCTATAGAAAAACAACATTTTAAAACAACTTTCAAATCCATTTTCTATAACCATTAAAACACTTATTAATATTTTTTAGAGAATTCTTTCAAAGTATTCACATTTTTCTATTAATCACATTTCTCGCTTTAAAAATGAGCGTGTATAAATAGTTCTTAAGAGTATTCAAAGCTTCATTCACATTTTCTTATTTTCTATAAAGCACAATATTTTTAACCATTTTAAAGAAACAATTTTCTGTAATTGTTAAATCTATCAGTAATTCTTATTGGTAATCAAAGATTCATTCATAATCTTCATATTTCTTATAGCTTACAGCATTTTAAACCATGCTTATTAATTAAAATTTTTTTTTTAAAGAAATTTCTTTCAAAGTATCCACATTTTTTCTATAATAATAATCCTCGCTTTAGAAATTATCATCTATAAATAGTTCTTAGCAATATTCAGATATCCACATTTCCTTACTTTCTATAAAAAAGCAAAAGAACAGTTTTCTGTAATTATTAAATCTATCAGCAATTCTTATTAATACTCAGAAAGTCATTCATAATCTTCATATTTCTTGTAATTTTTTCTATATTCCCATTTCCCCCCCTTTTTAAAAAAAATGATTCTTTTAATAATAATAAAGAAAGGTAAACTTAAGAAAGAGAAAGGGAGAGGAAAAAAGAAATAGAAGTATGACAAAAAATATCAAAGGAAAAGATTCGAAAGAAAAAAGAAGGGAAAAAGGAAAAGCAAAAAGAAAGGAATGAGGTAGAAAAATAATACAGAGCAAAAAAGAAAAAGGTAAAAAGAAGAGAGAGAGGAAAGAGAAACTCTTCCTTGCATTGTTTAGGAGTCAAATTACATAAAAAACATTTACATCCATTTTAATCAAACTATGGTGTTTTTTTCATTCTGTCCAAACTCTTTCTTCTTTTTTCTTCTCCTTTTTCCAGTTCCAATATCCATAAAGTTATAAAGACTAACAGATTTAGTTCTTTTGTATTCCATATATGGTATCATCATGTCCTCTTCTAGGGGTACGCCTTTCTTCTTCATTACAACACCATTAATCAGCAGTTTTAACTGTTCCAAATAGCTTCTTCTTCCCAACTGTCCATAAGTAGTTCAAAAACAAATTGAATACATCCAAAATCAGACCTCCTTAGTTTTTCCTCACTATACTCCAGTTCGAGAAATAAGAGACAAAGTTTCTTCTTCAAACAGGAAGGAATACACAATTTGCAGTTTCCACTTTCACTTCTGTTAACAAGCGTCCATCTTAAACTTCCTCCACTTATTATCCTCGCAGCTTTTAAAAAGACATTCCATTTCCTCTTCTCCTTCTTTCTCTTTACAGCTAATCCATTCTCTTTAATAACCAAAAATCCATCTAAAAAAACATTTAATTCCAAAAGCAGATAGTAGATATTATCGTCCTTTAAAGGGTCTTCTCTTCTCCTTGTTAATTATTTTAAATCTTTCGCCCCAATAATTCTTAGCCGCTGTTAGGGCCAGGGCATTGTTAGTCCCAAATATTTGAAAGCTGTTCCCCCCTGGGCTGGTCTTACTCACCCAGCATTCAAACAGCTTGCTCCAGTGTCTCCTCCTGCACTTCGCTTGTCCTGGCTGCTGTGGTTTTGGGGCAGCCGCCATGGCTGCCTCTCCTGCCGCCGCCAGCGTAGAGGGTTATCCTCCGGCCTCAAGGAACCTGCTCCGAGGAGGTCCCTCTTTGTCCCCCTGTCCCTACAGGACAGGGGAGGTCTGCAGACCTACCGGCGGGGGCTTGGCAGACGGGATTTTCATGGGGCTCCGAGGAGCCCTGCTATTTCCACGTCCGAATCGCCGCAGCGCCAACTGGAAGTGCTATCTCCACCTTCTTCTGCCACCTTCTAATTTAATTATCTAATTTCTTACACACTTAATTAATATCACTCTTATTTACTTTTTAAGTACTTATGATATTCAATGTGTGTGTGTGTGTGTGTATTCCCCCCTTTTTTCTCTTTCTTAGACTCTAACAGCAATTGCCTTAATCAATGTTTTATATTTGCCTTTTACCAATAACACATATATATCAATATATATCAATCACTTTAGTTCATTCACCACAGCTCCAATCAATTCTTTTACAATTCGTTAATTCTTTAACAATCGTTCCTTTTTTTCTTCCCTTCCAAATCCAGTCAATACATTAATTAAATGTTTTTCTTTTATTATTATTATTATTATTATTATTATTATTATTATTATTATTATTATTTCATTTATATGCTGCCCTTCTCCGGAGACTCAGGGCGGTTTACAATGCGTTAAGCAATAGCCTTCATACTTTTGTATATTTATACAAAGTCAGCTTATTGCCCCCATAGTATGGGTCCTTTTCAAATAGATTCTCTATAATTATTGTGAAGTACCAAGTAATACAAATATACCAATCCCTTTAGTTCATTCAGCACAAATCCAATCAATTCTTTTACACTTCATTAATTTTTAACAACCTTTCCTATTTCCCCCCCCCCTTTTCAAAACCAATCAACAAATTAATTTCTTTCAGTTTACACTTTCTATTGTTTTAAATTCCAACCAATTTTTTTCTTTTTTAAATTTCTTTTCTATTATTTTCTCTCAAGTCTTTATTGCATCAGGCTCCTTCTATCACACAGTACAAGCTTAGTCACCTTCTATTCCACAGTACCATCTCTAAGTCCTTCAAGATCTTCTCTTTGTATTCTATTTTCTTCTGTGTTTCTTCTTTTTTTTCCTCTTCCCACTGCAATTTTGTAATCTTCTTAATATATCTCAAGTTTATAAATCCATAATTGTCCACAGAAATAACCGTAAGTTTATTTATACTTTCTGAGTTTACTTCCTCCTTAGTCCACCAGTCTATAGTCTCTAATCTCTTCATTTATTTATTTAGTCCAAAGTTTATGTATCCCTTCCTTTCCGTGCCATTTTCACTTTCCTTTTCAAGTTATGCCCTTAGCTTGAGTCCAAGTATCTCTCTTTGTTACTTTGTATCCCCTTTATGGGATCCTTCCTCCCATCGCACTAACCTCTCCACTCAATCATCTCTCCGTTTTGCGCTTTTCTTTTCAATCGCGCTTTCCTTCCTCTCCATGTCTCACTCCTCTTGTGCCTCTACTCGATAGAATTTCGTCTTTTCTTCTTTTAGATCCTCCTCAACCACCAATGCTGGTTCCACTTTTTGCTTCCTCACTGTGCGGCCATCGCTCTTGGTCCATCTTGAAGACGGACTTTTTCCCTGCAGGATTTAAGCAGTTTGGTCTTGTCATCCAGGACGATAGCGCATTGTCCGAAGTCTTCCAACTTTCCCCTTTAGTTTTCTGATCCCTCCAGGATCAGAAATGCCCTTAAAGGGCTCCTTATCAGGAATTAATTAGGATTTCGGGAGCTATAAATCACACCTCACCCACTCTGCTCTGACGTCACCGCCGGAAGTCTCAATCTTTTTTCTGATCTTTCTGGCTCTTTAGTCCATTTATAACTTTCTAAAAAGTTCTAATCATTGCTGTTTATTCCAAAATAAAAATTTAAAGTTCTTAAACTTGTATTTAAAACTTATTTCACTAAGAATTGAAGGAAATTCACCCAGTGCTGTAAAATATGTTGCTCTGAAGGTTCCTAACAGCTGAAAAATAATTAACAAGCAATTTCCAAAAGTAATTAGAAAAGGAAACATGTGAATCCAGTGTCCTTAAAGTTGCTGGCCATGGTTTAAACAAGATGGTTATTTCTTCTTCTCCCAGAGAAATAAAGCTACTAGAGGCTATTATCTTGTGATCTCCTCACAAAGACTGTCTGGAACATTTATGGGCAATCCCAAATCCTCTCCTTGTCTGGAGAGGAATTATTGAAGAGCCTGCACCTGTCAGCTCTTTGTTCCACCACAGTCATAAGTCTTATCTGCCATTTCTTCTCTGGAAGTCCAGGCCAATATTATTTTGTGTGAGCTGTCCAGCTTGAAAAAATCAGCTGTCTTCCTTAGAGCCCCTTGTCATTCAGAGCTCTTCCTTAGAAAGAAATAATCCTAGCAGAAGCTGCAATCCTTTGGATATGATCCTGCTCCCACCCTGTCCTCTAGGCATCTGTTGTCTTTGAAGACTCTCCAGCCCACTCACATTGTTCCCAGACTGGGTTTTTGAGCTTGATCTTCTCTTTCATGAATGTAAAGTTCTACAGTTCTGTTTTGTTTAAGAAAACTTCAGAGTAGTACTTTATAGCTAAACATTCTGTGTCTCTACTTAGTGATGGAATTGATGCCTGGCAGAAAGGGATTCGCTATGCAGAAGGCCAGAACCTGGCCAGATATCTTATGGAAGGCCCTGCAAACCATATCACACCAACCAAATTTGCTACCATCATTGAGGACAAATTGAAAAGCTTCAGCAGCAATGTGACTGTTCATAAAAGGTAAGTTCCGTTTAAGAGGTTGTTAGTTGGTAGCATATTTCTGAGAATGATTAAATAGAGCTGGACCTCAGTCACATTCATGTGACCCGTGCTAGCTTAGCATTTGAGGTACCAGTGTTGCATGGGCTTAACATTATCTCCAGTATTATGCTATGCATCAAATACCTTACACCAGTACTTCTTGTCTTTGACAACTTTAAGAAATGTGGACTTCAACTCCCAGAATTTTCCAGCCAGCGTTGGCTTTAAGAAGTCCACACTTCTTTTTTTTTAAATATTTTTAATTTTTTTTCAAACATAAACATAAAATATATCTTTTAAGAATGAAGTCTTGATCCAGTCATAAATAGGTATAATCGCTTACATTTTTTAACAAACTCCATTCAAAATTTCCTCATTGCATCTTTTAAAATTACAAATCAAATCAAAATTTTTAACATAAATTCCAACATCTTAATTTAGGCCATACTATTATATCACCACAAATCTTAATTCCCAAATAAACTCCACTCATTTTTATATCCAAATATAAATCAAAGTTCATTCTAACTCTTTCCTAAATTTTCTCCACTACTTCTTTTAACATCAATATCAAAACACAAATTTAAGAAATATTATAACCTCTTGATCTAAGTATTTACCTTACTATTTTATCACCACAAATCTTAATTTCCAATATATACAACTCTATTTTTATTTCAATTTATAAATCAAAATTCTATCTGTATTTCTTAATGTCTGGACCCATTTCATCCAATCTTTAGATCTTAAACTTTGTCAATTTACACTTAATTTTCTTGAGTTTATCATCTATTATGCATTTCATTTTACACAGAATAATCTCAAAATTGTTTCACTTCATTTTAATTGTCTTCCAACATATTCTTTTTCACCCCATATTAATTTGATTATTTTCCAATATATTCTCCTCTATATCTATTCTCCTCTATTGTTTGGCTGATTTCCAGCAATTTTTATTTTAGCTGAATTTCAGCATATTCTCCTCCATAACTCCAACTGTTGTTTGGCTGGTTTCCAGCATTTTTTTTTTGGCTGATTTCCAGCATATTTTCCTCCCTACCTCCAACTATTGTTTGGCTGATTTCCAGCATATTTTATTTTGGCTGATTTCCAGCATATTCTCCTCCATACCTCCACCTATCGTTTGGCTGATTTCCAGCATATTTTATTTTGGCTGATTTCCAGTCACATTACCACCACCACCAAGCCACATTCACAGAACTGGTAGTAACAAATTTTACATTTCACCACTGGTACAGACCTAACAAATTGGCTGTTTGATTGGTCTGAGAATAATGTTTTGTTGGTCTACAGCTTTCCATGAGTTCCTGCAAAGAGGAAGGACAGGATGGTGTCACTTGTTGCCAAAGGCATTCATGAAAATGTCCATGCTTTACTGTAAAAGAATTAAAAAAGGTTACTGTAAAAGCAACTGTTGCAGAGGAGTTTTTCCACATAATAGTTGTAAAAGGGAAACCTGGTTAATATATATATGTGTGTGTGTGTGTGTGTGTGTGTATACATATACATATACATACACACACACACACACACACACACACACATACATACATACAGTCAGGTCCAGAAATATTGGGACATCGACACAATTCTAACATCTTTGGCTCTATACACCACCACAATGGAGTTGGAATGAAACAAACACAATGTGCTTTAACTGCAGACTGTTAGCTTTAATTTAAGGGTATGTACATCCAACTCAGGTGAACGGTGTAGGACTTACAGCAGTTTGCATATGTGCCTCCTACTTGTTAAGGGACCAAAAGTCATGGGACAGAATAATAATCATAAATCAAACTTTCCCTTCTTAATACTTGGTTGCAAATCCTTTGCAGTCAATCACAGCCTGAAGTCTGGAACACATAGATATCACCAGACGCTGGGTTTCATCCCTGGTGATGCTCTGCCAGGCCTCTACTGCAACTGTCTTCAGTTCCTGCTTGTTCTTGGGGCATTTTCCCTCCAGTTTTGTCTTCAGCAAGTGAAATGCATGCTCAATGGGATTCAGGTCAGGTGATAGACTTGGCCATTGCATAACATTCCACTTCTGTCCCTTCAAAAACTCTTTGGTTGCTTTTGCAGTATGCTTTGGGTCATTGTCCATCTGCACTGTGAAGCGCCGTCCAATGAGTTCTGCAGCATTTGGCTGAATGTGAGCAGATAATATTGCCCAAAACACTTCAGAATTCATCCTGCTGCTTTTGTCAGCAGTCACATCATCAATAAATACAAGAGAACCAGTTCCATTGGCAGCCATAAATGCCCACGCCATGACACTACCACCACCATGCTTCACTGATGAGGTGGTATGCTTAGGATCATGAACAGTTCCTTTCCTTCTCCATACTCTTCTCTTCTCATCATTCTGGTACAAGTTGATCTTGGTCTCATCTGTCCATAAGATCTTGTTCCAGAACTGAAGGCTTTGTTAGATGTTGTTTGACAAACTCTATTCTGGCCTTCCTGTTTTTGAGGCTCACCAATTGTTTACATCTTGTGGTGAACCCTCTGTATTCACTCTGGTGAAGTCTTCTTTTGATTGTTGACTTTGACACACATACACCTACCTCCTGGAGAGTGTTCTTGATCTGGCCAACTGTTGTGAAGGGTGTTTTCTTCACCAGGGAAAGAATTCTTCGGTCATCCACCACACTTGTTTTTTCCGTGGTCTCCCGGGTCTTTTGGTGTTGCTGAGCTCACCGGTGCATTCCTCCTTTTTGAGAATGTTTCAAACAGTTGTTTTGGCCACGCCTAATGTTCTTGCTATCTCTCTGATGGGTTTGTTTTGTTTCTTCAGCCTAATGATGGCTTGCTTCACTGATAGTGACAGCTCTTCGGATCTTATCTTGAGAGTTGACAGCAACAGATTCCAAATGCAAATAGCACACTTGAAATGAACTCTGGGCCTTTTATCTGCACATTGTAATTGGGGTAATGAGGGAATATCACACACCTGGCCATGGAACAGCTGAGAAGCCAATTGTCCCATTACTTTTGGTCCCTTAACAAGTGGGAGGCACATATACAAACTGCTGTAAGTCCTACACCGTTCACCTGAGTTGGATGTACATACCCTCAAATTAAAGCTGACAGTCTGCAGTTAATGCACATTGTGTTTGTTTCATTCCAACTCCATTGTGGTGGTGTATAGAGCCAAAGATGTTAGAATTGTGTCGATGTCCCAATATTTCTGGACCTGACTGTGTGTGTGTGTGTGTGTGTGTGTGTGTGTGTGTGTGTATTTTTTTTATGTGTTTGCTTTTTTGTCATCTTAAAATTTGAGATATTATTTTGTTGATCAGCTGGCATTCGGGAATGCAATGTATGTCCTTTTTCAGTAACTGAGAAAGAAATAATGGAAATTGTTCCCTGCCATTACAGAGATAAATCTTGGATACAGGAGCAAGCAATGGGCTCATTTTGGAGTGTGGCAAAAGGCTCGGATGAACCCCCAGTCTTTTTGGAAGTCCACTACCAAGGCAGCAGCAACCCCAAAGAAGCTCCATTGGTATTTGTTGGAAAGGGGATAACTTTTGATAGGTGAGCATCTTCTTCGGAGCATTTTTGGAGCAGAATTTAATTTCTCCCATTCCCAGGATATGTGCTTTGAAAGTGCAAATGAATGCAATGCAAACTCTGTTGAAAGGAATTGTAGGAAAGATGGTTTCAGCTCATTCATCTTCCCAAGGTCGTGTGGTTTCTAGAGAAAGAAGCTTTCCAGTTCTGGTCTCATGTCTTAAAGGGAGAAAGCTGTGCAGCTTCAGATATGGATCATGGAAGGACCATTCAGGATTCATGGAATAATTGGAAAGTTTTTCTTTCCACCTGTATATAAAGATACAAATGAATAAATCTCCTAAATGAAGAATCCATTGCAGAGATTATTCTCTATCTTATCAATAAGAGAAATACAAGGAGACAGGGCTATATTTTTTGAATGCTGAGGCTGTCTAAGAGTGAGGCTTTCATGGCCTGGGAGTAGGATAGGAGAAAATTCCTGAAATTGTGCTGGAAAAATGGGCTTCTGATAATGGGATTCATTTTCAGAAAGAAGGTGCATAATGAGTCTAGACAAAGGGAACTTTACAGCAGTAGTGAAATCTGAACTGGTTTACTACTGGTTCGTTGGCTGAGCATGTGCAGTGCGCAGTGCGCACCAAATGCAAGGTGCACGTGCATAGTGCACACCAAAAGGAGCCATGTGGTAAGTAGAACAGTGCACAAGGGTGATCAGCTGTGGCGCGCAATCTTTTTTTTTTACTTTTAAAAGTTACCAGTTTTAAAAGTAAAAAAAAAAACCCTCTGATGATCGCGCTGCTCAGCTGTGATTGTCAGAGGCTTTTTTTTACATTTTAAAAGCATTTGTTTTACAACCTAAGAGGTTGTAGAAAAAATACTTTTAAAAGGTTCTGATGTCAGAGGCTTTTTTTTTTCTTTTAAAAGCTTTATGCCTCTGACAATCAGGCAACTCAGCTGGGATCGTCAGAGCCTTTTAAAAGCATTTTTTTTACAACCTCTTCAGAGGTTGTAGAAAAAATGTTTTTAAAAGTAAAAAAAAGTCTCTGATGATGGCGTGGCTCAGCTGGACATGGGCGAGGAGGGCAGGTATTTTTGCTACCAGTTCTCTGAACCACCTGCCACCATCACTACCAGATCAAATGATCTGGTCCGAACCGGGAGCATTTCACCCCTGCTTTACAAGCACCTATTAGGGAATCATGGTGCTAAAGTATTTTTTACCATCAGATGGATTGTAATTGTTCTGCTTACCTACAATTTCAGCCTGTGGACTTCATTTAATTCTTCTCCAGTATTATTCCAGAAGACCTGAATTGAATGTTCCTCTATGTTGTAGAACCTTCCTGTCAGATAATAGTGCCATATTTTCCATGCTTTTTCAATTATTATAACAAAAAAATTGTGGCTTGGCATCTGAGCAAAGTTTTCTCTTGATATTGAAAGTTTTGTGGGGTCGGGTGGGCAAAGAGACCAATCTTTGTGGTATCTCTTATATTTTTTCCCAGCGGTGGCATTTCCATCAAGCCTTCAGCCAATATGGATGCCATGAGAGCAGATATGGGAGGAGCAGCCATCATTTTTTCTGCTATTGTTACAGCTGCAGAGTTCAAGTTACCCATTAATCTAATTGGTAAGTAGATTGTAGAAGAATAAATTCACAAAAGTTATTTGAATTGGAAAGAGATGTCAACAGACCTTCAGTCAGCCCATCTTGATTCTCCAAGGTCTGTGGTACAGAAGTTATCCCATGATTTGCTTCCTGAGCTGGATATAGAACCTACTAAACCTAAGAACTCAAACAAACTGAATTAGCTGCTGAAATTGAAGGCTGGATTGCCTTGTCCCTCTGGCTTCTTCTCCAAAACAAAATCCGGTAATTTTGACTGGTTAGATTCCATCATCAAGAGTCTTCCAGTTCAGACATTCCAGTAGATGTTCCAGTTTTGGGGTTTGTCACTTTGTAAGGATTCCCAGTTGCTCTACCTATTCCCTTCTCCCATGGTGTTTTAGATTAGAAGATATCCTTTGCCTAATTACCAGTGGTCCTGCTTAATACTCATTCAACAACCATTCAAACTTGTGATGACACTGAATGAGAGATACTTACTATTAGTCCTCCTAGTTTCAACCACTGCAATGTTTCCATGATTGTGATTGGCTTGTAATTATAACATTGCAGTATCCTGCATTTGTGATCTTCTTTTTTTTTTTTTATTGAAAAAGTTTTCAAATACAAATTTCCCCCCCTTTTTTTCCCCCTCTCCCTCCCCCTCCCTAACCCCCCTCCCCACCCATCCCCCCCTGTGACTTCTTCATAACAAAAAAAAAAACCATAATTCATAACAGATTACTTACTCCCTCCTCTAGATATTGACCTTTACTTACTAAAAATATTATTAATATTATAACATCCCCCTTTATCCATACATATCAAAAAAGAGAAAAGAAAGGGGGAAAAAAAAAGACATTATACTATGACATTATAAAATAACTTCTCCACTTTAAAACTATACGATAAGTCCTACTTTAACATTTAATCTTCTATATATATTACTATAACATTCCAAAGCGGCCTTCCCCATAAAATCTAGTTTAACATTTATTCCACTCTATCCATTTCCTCCACTCCCCTAAATATAACACTTAAAAATCCCTTTTCTTAGACTAATCAATCTACTAAATAGCTTATTCACCCACTATCATGCAAAATTGCCATACACAACATTTCTTAACATCTTTGATTCACTGCCCACACTTCTTAAAAATATATGTCTATATTTTCCATTATATCTAAATAAAAAAAAAGAAAAGACAATGACTTTAAATTTATAATCCATATAGTATCTTCTTTGAGGTCTTTCCACTGGATTGGTAGAACCAACATCCATAATCTGGCTACATTTGTAGACAAAACTTTGCTCCTGTGTCTTTTTCTCTTTTTTTTTTCCCTTGGAGACCTGATATTGTTGTTGATTGGAAAGAAGTCCCTTTTTTTTTCTTGCTTGCTTTTTTTTTTAACAAAGCCTGCCTGGGCGGAAACATGGCACTGAGACTCATAAAGTCAGATAAACAAGAAGGGGGGGGGGATCCCCCCACCAACAACTTAAAGGAACAAGTCTTAATTCTTCAGTCTCAGAAACCTGACTTTAATATAATAGAATTTTTTATAGAGGAGATTGAAAGAAGGGAGGAGATTGTGAATCAGCAATTTGAAAAATTTAAGCAGGAAATTAAAGAATTGGTGAAATCTAAGTTTGATTTTTTGGAGAAAAAACTCTCAAAAGTGGTTAATGGTTTTACAGGATTTATGAAACAGTTGGACGCAAATACTAATGTACTAGAGTCTAAAATGGAAGAAATTCAAGATAAATTGGACAATAGAATTCAAAAAATTGAAAATGATTTGACAAACACTCAGGATAATAGCTTAGAAGAAAAACCTAAAATGGATGCTGATCAAAAGTATGGTAATGTAGAAAATCTGCAACAGAAGATTGAAAAAGGGACTTTAATGGTACAATATAATTTTACAGAATATGCGATAAGATTAAGAGGTTTGCAGGAAAATAATAGAGATGATTTAAGGAAAATATCTTCTGAATTTCTAGCTGGGATTCTAAAGGTTCAACCTGACGAAGTGTTTTGTAGGATCGACAGAGTTTATCGAATCAACTCCTGGATTGCTAAACAAAGGCAATGGCCTAGAGATGTGGTGATTTATTTTACAGATAAGGAGATTAGGAATAATATCGTTCAAAACTCCTTCAATTCTAATTTGCAATTGTATGGAAGAAAGATTTGGATTTACAAGGAACTTCCACCTAAGATATTGATGGAAAGGAAGAAATTTGGTTTTCTGGTGAATGAGTTAAAAAAGAGAAATATCTCCTACAGGTGGGACGCCCCAGTGGGTATTATATTTAGATACCAAGGAGAAAGATATCAGCTAAATACTGTTGAAAGAGCGGAAGAATTTTATCAAAATAGGTTGAAAATGAACTTAACATCTCCAGGTATAATACAGGATAAGCAGAAGGAGCCGGAAATAAAGGTAAAATATCGAATTATAGAGACTGTACCAGATGAATTGCCATTGGATTTATTGGATACCCCAGCTGGACTATCTACAAATTTGAGAGAAGAGGCATCTAATCCTAATGTGATGACTTATCAAGGCAAGGATAAACATGGAAACCAATTAGGGGATATACAAGGGATAAAAAAGAAATATGAGATACAAAAGCAAAACCAACAAGACCAAACCACCAAGCAGAATAAAAACCGACCAGATGATACACACTTTATAGAAAGGGAACCAGGATGGAAACCAAACCCACAAAAAGAAAAGAAAAAAAGAAATAGGTGGCATAAAAACAGAAATTTCTAATCAGGCAACAGTGAAGCCAGTGATTTTAAAATATGAACGATTATGGGTAAACACAGAAGAGGCGACGTATTGGTTAATATCATCCTGAGGTTTGTGGCAGATCTCTGCATGGCCGTAATCCGGGGACGTGAAACGAGCCTTAAACTGATGGATTTGAATTATCCATTTTGGAATTTCTTTTTGTGTTGATAAACATATTATATTATCTTGAATCACAAGGCAAGAGAATTATGCTGGGGCATGCAGAAGATCGGGTTGTTACCCACTACGATGATGGGAATTAATAATCCTGATGAAACCCACAATATTACTATATGGAATATAATTATAATGTCACTTGGGTGGTTGTTTTTACTTTTATACATATAAGAAGATATTTACTATTGATGGGGGCAGATATGATTGAAGATCCTGAATAAACTGTTGCACTAGTAAGCTATGTTACCCCATTTGTGACCTTCTTTGTTGGCTTCCTACAAGCAAAGCCAATGGGGAAGCTGGCAGGCAGTCACAAATGGTGGCCATGTGATGTCCTCATTTTGTGACACATGGCGATTCACTTAATGATGCCTTTGCTAAGAGGTACCATCATATGATATCGCACTTTATGACCGCATTGCTTAGCAGTGGAAATTCCAGGCCAACTTGGAATGTTTACCTGTATTTTATTTATTTATTTGTATGAAGATTACCTGTATTTTATTTTATTTTCAAATATTTTTCTTTATTTTAGAAGAATGTAAAAAATAAAGAGCACCAAACTGAACAATAATAACAATTAAAACTAAATAAATCCAACAACCATTTTAAGACTAATATAATTTAACAAATTTCATAGTAAAGGGTTAAAATTAACAGAATTGTACTAAAATGTAATTCTAATGTTTATGATTAACTTATAGTCTCTGCTTTATAAAAAATACCATATAGTACTGTCTATTATAATTAAATGCAAACATAAAATGAAATTACCCAATGATATCACAGTGTTATTGTAAAGTATCATAAAATCTATACTAAAGAAGAACATAACTGCTTCATTTGTTGATTTGTTGAAAACACTGCCATTTGCAGAACAGAAAAATTACCCATTTCCAAAATCAAAATATCTATAATAATATGACTTTTTCCATTTTTCCCTACCCAGGGTTTTGCCATATATATCAGACCTGTCCAAATCCGATCCCTTAGGAAAGAAAAGCCTTTGACTCCATTTGATTAAAGCAAATGGTTCTTTTACTAAGTGTTGGTTGCAGTAATGTCAAGCAAGCTCTGAAAGTTTTGTGCTCACTGGATGCAAAAATATGGTGTAGGTTTGCCCCAGCCCATCCCTCCCCCCTTCCCCTATGACCAGTCCATTTCCAGCCAACCGAAGCTCCCCAAGATGTTTGAAGGACTCTGAGATGTTTGGGGGTAATCCACATATTTCTCAGGGTGCCTAGCTATGGGATGCTGATACAAACAGGATCTGACTACTCTGGTCCTTCTCACCTGTCATCCCCCCTCCCAATTTTCTATCATGTACATACAAAACTTTATTCCCCTTTTATCTTTCCCCCTTTCATCCTCCCCCCTTCTCCCTTTCATCCTTCCCTCTCCCCTTCTTCTGTTTATGGCAGGATGCCTGTGAGATCCCTCAAGCCAAGCCAGGCAGATCTGACATTCAACCCCCTTGACAGAGATGTTAGTCCTGCAAAAGGAAAAAAAAAAAGAGGGGAGAGAGAAATACACAAAATTTCTCAATTAGCAATCAGTTAAATGTGGCTTATCTGGATATCGGTCATGGAATTTTTAAAGCAGTTTGGGGGCTTTAATATGTTGGAAGTTGACCCATTCAGTTTCTGAGGGGGAAAATCTTTTCAGACTACCAAATACTGAGTTTTTCCCTGATGTATGTGAGAATCCAAAATGTCTTTGACCTCAAAGTGCTGCTCTCCCTCGATCATAATGGGGTCGGGAGTGGTTGTGATTCGGGATGCAAGGAAGATGTGATTTCTGGTTTCAGTAAGCTACAGTGAAATACCTGGTGTACATGTCTGATCATTTTTGACAGCTCAAGTTCTACAGTTAGTGGATTAATAATCCTTTTGATGGGGAAAGGTCCAATGTATTTCAGCCCCAATGTTTTTTGATGGTTATCTAGATTGTAGGAATTTGGTAGAGAGATAGACCATGTCTCCCACCTTAAAGTCCTTTGGCTTGATGACTTTTTATCAGCCTGTTTTTTGTATGCTTCCATAGCT